AGAAGAGATCATTGCTCTGTGTGCATAGTCTGCATGAAGTTCATCTTTTCTTTTCACATTCATCTGATTGTCTCATTTCTCTATTTTAAATAATAGACCCCCCCCCTCCCTGCAAAAGAAGTTTAAGGCACTCAGTGGGGAAAAAAGCCTATTGTGGGCATGTAGAAACTCTAATCTGGTAGAAGATGGAGCTGATTTGTCTAGACAGCAAAGCAGGTTGGAACGAGTGGGCTCTGGAGATGAAAAGAGAACATGGAGCCAGGTGCCAAGAACATTTTGGGGAGGAAGCATCAATTACCTGATGCCATAAGGGAAGGCAGAAATGCTATTACAGTATTATCTTTCCATATTTTTTTTCATTTCATACCACTTTTCCTCTTCCTAAACAGCTCAGGCAGTTTACACTGAAATTTAAACCATGCAAATACACTAAAACTGAAAAAGATTAAAATTATAGAAATCATTAAACCATGGAAAACCACTAAATCAGTGTTTTTCAAACTTGGCAACTTTAAGATGTGTGGACTTCAACTCCTAAAATTCCCCAGCCAGCACGCTTCAATATATTGAAGTCTTAAAGTTCCCAAGTTTGACAAACAATGTACTAAATGTTATTAAGAACTAGGTTGAATAAAACAAAAGAATCTTTATGGTTCTCCTGAAGGCCTCTAAGGAAGATAGATCTTTCTTCATATGTAAAGAGATATTCCACAATGTGAGTGACAACCAAGAAGACCTTGTTCCAAGTCTCCACCAGAGAAGTTGATGGCACCTGAAGACATACAGCTTTAATAAGTGCTGGGGAATCATGCAGAGAAAGGCATTTTCTTGAATAATTCAGGCTTCAAATAAGCATTACTTATATTTTGGCCAGAAAACCACAGGCAGCCAATGCAATTGTTTAAGGACAGGATAATACAGTTTCTCCTGGTAGTTCAGAGACCAAACTAGTTGAACTAGTTAAGCTTTCCAAACTGCATTCATAAGCAGCCCTAAACAGACTGCATTACAGTAGTAGTCTATTCCTCAGTCTGAAATACCAGGATGAGAGAAGTAAGAAAACAATAAGAATTTGATGTCAAACATCAAGTGCCTCTATATCCTTCAAGTAACTTACCAATCACAGCCATAGGAAAAGACATACATTTTAAAATAAACACCAACATTCACCAAGTATTCAGTCACTAGACAAAAGAAACATTTTAGAAGTTCCCAGCAATGCTTCAATTCTCCTCAGATTCAATATAAATTGGGCATCTTGTTTTCACTATTATTTTTTTTTGGAGATAGGAAGCAATCTTTAAAGTTTTCCCTGGGAAATCCAATATCCAGGATAGTATGCATTCAAGGAGAGGAATGGAGAAAACCAAAATGTTGTGACTTGCCACCATCTCTGCACTTTAGTGTAAGATATTTGGTGCTGTATCAGGAGTAGGAACAGGCAAACTCAGAAGAATTGCAGAAAGATTAAGGGACAAAGAACAAACTGTACTGAGTGTGCAGAGGTGAGAGACATAAAGACACATAATCTCTGCGTTGTGCCTTTAATACTACAAGGCCATCTTTGCAAATACATTGTCCCACATCTGGATGCATGCTTATTATGAAGCCAAACTCAGTAACTTCAATGCAAAAGGTCTCCTCTTCACAGCTCCCATTCATTACTCCTAGAACAGTGTCACCAGATGACAACTATACTGGATTTTCAGACATAGATAGGCTTTTCAAAGTAAATGATTCATTTTCCACTTCCCAGATTCACTGGCAGAGATATCCAGACTACAATATTGTAACTGGCATGTTTTTATGTATTTGTGTTCTTAAAATTCTTGCTGCCATGAGTGCTGCTCATATGCACCTTTCAGTAATAGTTCAATAAATTTCTAGAGTAGAATTAGCACTTTTAAGGCCAGGAAATGACATGCTTATATGATATATGTTTTGCAACTGACATACTGATCTTTCTAAGATATGAAATATCTCAGAAATTCAACTTAATGTTCTACAGCATGTGGAATCTGTGAGGTATACTGGGCTGAGAGAAAGTGAATAATCTAACATCACTCATTATGTTTCCATGGTTGATGGAGTCACAACTTGAGTTTCTCTGATCCTAATCCACCACTCTGGCTAGGCATATTTGGGGGAGGAGGAGTTTCTATGTATAGATGAGAGAATGGGGTGTGTACAATACAGGTCACCCCCATAAGGATTTGATTGTTATGGATGCAGAACAGAAATCAATCGGTTTCTTCTAAAATGGCTATTAAGAGCTCAGAACTAGAAGTTACTTTTATAACATCATGTGTGATGGAATGGAATTATGAAGGCCAGGCTCAGGGAGATAAGTTCTTAGTTCACCGGAGGAGTGTGGGAAGTTCAAGAGGATGAGGCTGGCACCTCCCTGAGGAATTCATGGTGTTGTGGCTGGCTTGCTTTGGAGCTTGGGTTCAGTCTTGGGGGGTTTTTTGTCTAGAGGGTTTTGGCTATAAAACCAGTAGA